TTGGAGCCCTGGCACTGCCTCACTTGCCACAGTTGGGCCCACAGTTGGGTACTTCCTCTTCCCACCCTTGCATGCTGGGGCTGGGCCCCAGGGGCCCCCGCATCATCCGCTCCTGCACACTGGGTTTGGGCCCTGGGGCACAGTGTTGCCCCTGCCTGGCCCTGCATGCTAGGTGTGCAGAGCTCAGAGCTCTTCATGGGTCTGGGAATTTGGGAGCACTGCTTCCCTGCCACTAAATTTCCAGACCAGTGACAAGTCCCAGAGGCTAGATAACATGGTGCCACAGGCCAAATCTGGCTGTGGGCAATGGGTTGGTCACCCCTACTCTACACTAAACATTCCTATTTCTTCCTGTCTTTCCTTTTCCTTTCCTGTCTATACAGTTCATACAGTGGCTCCCCCAAGTTTGTCCCAGCTGTTTGTACTATGCTCTTATACTCATCTTAATAGTAAGGCCAAGTGTCCACTTTCGGTAGGATTTTTTTTTACATTTGAAATAACTGGAGAGCTGATGGTTAAGCCAGGCATCTCCGTTGCTATGCTTCCTCTTAATTTGCATTGGCATAGCATGCTCTTCTGCCTTTAATATTTCCCTGTGGTTCACAGACTAGAGAGAATCTGAAAATGACTGACTAGAATTCTCTCTTTATTTCCAGGTGCTATGGTATCTTAAAATAAGGTAACAATTCATGTAAAAATTACTTGTCTAATGAATAATTCTAGTTACTGTGAGTAAAGATATGAGAATCTGGATGTGCTTGTTTTCCAGACCAAAAAGTACATCAGTTATTCAAAAATAGACTAGCCAAAAGCCAAAGGAAAAAAATAGAAAATAAAAATGTTGTCAGGAGAGAGCAGTTATTTCAGTGTTTCAGTAGATCCTTCTCCCTCTTTGTCTTCTATGGCAATCTACAGAATATTTTGAGAGGTGCAAATTTTTATGCAAATATGGGCCTGAGTAATATTTATCTAAATCCTGTTGATGCTCATGTGTATCTAAGACACTGCATCGGTTTTGGAAGCTATTGTATGTAAACATCCATAGCAGAGATGGAAACTGAAATGTAAACTACTGATTAAATTGGATAGTTTTTGAAAAAAGAACAGTGAATTTTCCTAATGGTACTCTAGGATTTCTACCTTTAATGGACCGTGGACTAAAACCATCTGTTCCTGTCAGATCCGCTACTGAATCTCTGTCAAGTAGTAATTATTTTGGTCACTCTTGTCCTGAGTCTATATTTAAATCAGTTCACTAATGGCAGAAGACTCGGTGCTCTATCATCAGAAGTCCCCTGAGCACTCCAGTCTAGCCATACTTCAAAATTTAGATTTTCTGCAGCAACTTTAAAATTGGACCTTACTTCTTTTCTTTTGTTTTTGTTGTTTCACTTTGGTTTTTTCCAGTTTCTCTTCCCTTGCCTTTTCTATAAATAAATAAATAAAGCATTTACTTTGTGCTTCAATGCAATGAAACACAACAAACACAATAAAAATACCCACAGTGATGTTTTGTTTTCATTTTCTATCATTGACTGGCCACCGATTAATGAAATCAGTGATCCTCTAAGTAAAGTCGTCATACCACTTCCGTGTGGCTGACAGAGACAATTCTGTCATAGTGCTCAAGAGTACAATTAAAACAGGAGGTGGGAAAGATGTAATTGTGCAGGTGTCAATAGAGCTCCCTGGTGGGACTTGTGCTCACGTGTGTTTTATGGCAGACGCATCAGAAATGCAATCTCTTGAAAAGTTCGTTTTCCATGCAGGATGAAAATTCTTTGTGTTTAAAATGCCACCATGATCAAATGCCACCATGATCAAATGTATAGATTGAAACCAGAGGGGGAACAAGCACAAGAAGGCAGAGACATATTGCAAAGTGATGTGGGAGGGCCTGCAGGCAACAATGAGAGATTGACTATTAATAAACATAAAAGCCTAAAGGGCAAGGGGAAAAAGGAAAAACAACATTGACTAGCAGCTACTGCCCCTGAATATATTATTATTTGCATTATAGCAACATTTAGAGGCTGTGACTGAGATCAGGGGCCTATTATATTCTCAAAGGTCCCAAAGTGAATTAAATTTCATTTAGTGTCCTTAATAGTATGCATTGCTTTTCAAATGTGCAGCATCATTGCTAAGGAACGTTGTAGCTACAGTCTAGGATGTTAAAAGAGTCCATGAGTGACTCTTTCTTTCTGTCTTGAAGCATAATAAAAAACTTATGAATAGGTCTAAGAAGCTCAGAAAGAAACACATAAAGCCTACCAGAGAAAATAAATGTACTTTAAAAAGATTTATGCTGAGAACAAAAGGTCTCTCCTTCTGATCATAGACAGAGTATTAAAAATTAATACCAGCTCTACCAGAAAAGAACTTTACAGTCCTATTTTGAGACTCATTTCACTTCTGTCTTTCCTGGTCTCAGAAAATATTAAAGTCCAAAGATACAAGATTAATCCTTTAGTGCTAACATGTATGTCCTTTAGGATTGTGGGTAACCTTTTAGGAAATGATGGTCAAACATTTCGGAAATGATTAGTGCCCTATATGCTTTAATTTTTGAAGGTCCAACTTGAGACAACTTAAAGGGGCCTGATTTTGAGAGAGTACATAATTAGGTGTTTCCAATAATTAGACCCCTTTACTGTATCTCAGCTAGACACTCATGAATTGCACTGCTCAATCACTAGCTACTTTTGAAATTCTTGGCTGTAGCTACTAACGTTCAGTCACCCAGGGGCCTGGACCAGAATCCAGGACCCCATGTTAGGTGCTTAGACTTCCTATTCAGTTTTTGAGGAGGGCATTAGGCTGTGGGGGTCATTGAAAATCTTCTGTGTGCACCAGACTTGCCTGCCAGATTGGGGCCTTCAAGACATTTAGGCACGGCATCACTCAATTTCTGAAATATAATCAGGCTTTGGTGGGACATAGCCACCCAGTTACTCACAGTGGATATGTCTGAGCATGCACGAGAATCAGAATGCTAGACTGCACCTGCAAACTTTCCCAGAGGTGCTAAGTAAGTTTATGCTGGGTTAGGTGACCACTGAACATGGATCATAATTTGGGTCTAAGACTGAAATCATTACTAAGTTCAGCTTTGGTGATTTCTGTGGAAGTTTGGCATCTAAATACCTTCACAAAATCACATAACAATTTACACTAACGGTTTGAATTTTAGGTGAAGTTTGTCAGTCTTTAGGCTGATAGTTTCTAGAGGGGTCCAAAAATATGAGACATTTATCATCAGTTCCTAGAGCAAGAGATGCTCCACATGATCCTGCAGTGACTCTTCAGTAGATGATCTACAGATGGCAGTGCCTTTAGCTCTCAGGGAGCTTGGATATTTAAATTAAAAAAGGTTGACCTAAAAATCAATGCTGGGGGAGCCTTTCCTTAAGTAGTTCTTTTACATCGTTATTATTAGGTCCACACCTGTCAGCCAACATGAAGGCAAACATTTTGCACACATACATTTTACATTAATAGCTAGTGCAATCAGTCGGAGTTTTTCCACTGATTTCAGTGAGACCCTTGGACCAGGCCCACCAGTGAACCCTTAGACTGAGTGCATGTCCTGCAGCTTTGCACCCTAAAAAAAATGAAATGCACAATAAACTGTTAATGGAGTGATCCTGATTGAAGGACAGGAAGCTCACCATGTCTTGTATACAAAAAAATGTGGAGGTTGCAAAAGTGCCCACAGGAATTAGTAGCTGCTGACGTCTGTCATATGAATAAGACTTGGGAATAAGGTTCTTAACAGCATGGTTGGGTGTCACACTTTTATTACCTGCATCAATAACATTAAAAGCAGTAGTATTTCAATACCAGAATAAATGTCAACAAATTGAAGGGAACTTGGAGAAGAACAGAGAAAATGCAGGGGTTTGAAGAACTGATTCATGATGGGAGATTATTTGAACTACTGTGTATGTTTTTTATTGGCCAAATGATGACTAACAGGATACGTGAGAGCCATCTACAAGCATTTGAAGTATGTCAGTAGCTCTGGAAGGTTATGGGTAGTCAGAGCTATTAGGAATGAAGGGATAAAAATTAGATTAAGAAAATAAGGTTAAACCCGAGTAAAAAGAAATTAGGTCAAATATCAGGAAACCTGTGCTAGGTAGGAATGACATATCAGCAGTTCCAAAACTGAACATCATCTTTTGGATACATGGATACACCTCCTACTTGCCCACCAGCCTGCTGAGTATTTGGGGACAAAGCCTTGCTCAGTATATATTTTCAAAGTGCTGTTGATAGTGATGAAGTTACACCAGTTTGCAACAACTGAGGCTGTAGCCCAAAGCAATAATATTTAGTGAAGATGAGGAATCATAGTGCACACACCTACAAGGTGAAATTCCTAAAGATTACATGATCTTTTTGGCTCTTTGTAGGCACAATAAGTCATCAATCCTCTTAGAATAGTAAATTATGTTAATATTTTTAGCCATACTCTATTAACTCCATGACTTACTGTGCCTGTAACTTTTATTGGATGACTATATACTGTCCCTTGTATTTGTTCTAATTTTCCCAGTCATTAATTGTATGAATTTATCCATTATTATTTTATTATAGACAGGGGAAGAAAGATGTACACTTACTCATGAAAATGTCTCACTTTGCTCTTCAGAATTGTGATGATTTTGTTTGGCCTTACGTTGAGGCCAAATCACTCCTAGCCAGTACACCTGAAGCATGGCGATCTCACTGCCAGTACACCATGGAGCATAGAGATCTCACTGCCTCCAAGGACAATGGATGTGGAATTGTTCGCTGGATAATGAGCACCCTGTCGCAGAGCACTGAGGTGCCCTGCTCCTAGAGGGCGGAAACTGCTAGAGAAAAAGCCCTAGCAGGGTATAAGGAGCCCACCTGTGGGTTGCCCGGGGCAACCAGGAGGTCAGCTGACTGTAAGGGGCAGGGCCTGGCTCTTATAAAGCCCAGGAGCTGAGGCCAGAGGCAGTTCCCTGCCAGCAGCCAGAAAGAAAGGAGCTCCCTGAGCAAAGAGACAAGAACCGCTGGTACAGCCCATGCCGGGTAAAGGATGGCAGCTCTGAGACGTGTGAGCAATGTGGTTTCAGCCGGGCGGCTTTAAGTTAAGTTATAGCTTAGGGGCTTGTGTTTTGCGTTGTTGTTGTTGTTGTTACACCGGTGGTTTGGGTGAGGCTATTAGGGGTTGGAGGAGGCCTCATAGGGGACCCACAGTAGCCTAGGGACCCCAGCGCCAGTAAGGGCGCGGCGTATGGGTGCATAGACCCCAGTCCCAGAGAGGGGCAGTTGAGAAGCCCTAGTGCAGGTGTGGCAAGCCCCTGGAGAAGGGGACAGCTTGCTGGTGAGCCCCGAGAGAGGGCATCATTATAGGAGAGTCCCGAGAGAGGGCGGTCTGATTGAGGAGGCCCAGTGTGGCCACGGAGAGCCCCAGGAGAGGGGCAGCATTCCTGAGAAGGCCCAGGGTGGGCACGGAGAGTCCCAGGAGAGGGGCAGCAGTATTGAGAAGGCCCTGGAGAAGGGGGTATTAGTGCGGTGAGCCCCGGAGAAGGGAGCAGCATTGCGGTGAACCCCGAGGGAGGGCGTAGCATTGCAGTGAACCCTGGAGAAGGGGACAGTATTACTAAGGAGGCCCCAGAGAGGGCGGCTTTACAGAGGAGCCCCAGAGAGAAGGGGGCGGCTTTACAGAGGAGCCCCAGAGAGAGGGTGGCACTGCGGATGAGCCCCAGAGAGAGGGCAGCGTGATAGGGAAGGCACTGTGAGAGGGCAGCACGATAGTGAAGGCCCCAGAGGAGGGCGGCAAAACTGAAGAGGAGCAGCATTGTGGAGAAGGCCCCAGAGAGAGAGCATGGAAAGAGACAGGGTCACGGAGGGCCCAAGCGCCAAAAGAGATTGTAGACCTTGACAGAACAACGTCCATTCCAACTGCAAGGCTTGGGGCGTGGTATAAGGGGTGGTTGGAGCCATGCATAGCCCATAAGGCTAGGGTGCCCGGGAAGAACCCATGGTAGAGCAGAACCCATAAGGGGTCTTGGAAGCCACGGGGTCCGGGAAACCACAGGGTCTGAATCCGAGAAGTGAGCAAGAGGGTGTAAGGCAGCCTCCCAAACTTATTTAAACATCAAAGACGTGGCGGGAGAGAATTAGAGGGTGCCCTTGGGCTGACTTGGCATGGAGAAAGGGGCCTTAAGGAGATCACGGCCCTCCTGTAGGACCCCGCCGTGACACACCCTTCCCCTTAAGGTGGGGTATCAGACTCCAGCACCTTGCCTGTCATTCATAGCAGCTGGACCACAAGGGAAATACTGTCACTTTGCAGAGAACAGAATCTCTAAGAGTAAATAAACTGTCTCTTTCTCAAGGTCGAGCCAAGTGAGAGCAGCCAGATACTGCCATCACTCTGCAAAGCAGCCAAGAGAGGCAAATCGCTCTCCTCTTTACCTTTGACAACTAAAACATACACCTGCCTCTCTCACACACACCCCCCACCACTCCTTATTACACACACACACGCATGCACACACACACCCCCATACCACTCCTCATTATGAGACTTCACTCTTCCCTCTCATGATGAGCTACTCCCAGCTCTGCCTTTATTATAATGCAAGTATCTGCAGAAATCCTATCAGGTAAGTGGGTGATCCATTCCTATGATCTACCATGTCTTGGACTTTTTTTATTTCAGTTGGTACCCTCAGACTTTGTCAGGCAACCAGAACAAATGCCTGGCACAGGAAGTAAAGAGGCCATGAGATCCTGATTTTTCTCCTTCACGGCACCTTGTTTTTTGTAGCTTTTAAGCATTTTAAGCTTAAAGCTAATTCTAAGCCTTTAGGCATGACCATCTTGCCTGATTCACTGAGGAGTAAAACCTGTGTCTCCTGGGCCTAAAGGCATGAATTACCAAAGCTCTATGGGCTGGGTTGTGCCAATTATATCAACCCTTCAGAGCAAGCACAGAGACCATTCCATTAAACAACTGTTTTGCGCAATATGGAAAAAAGTGAATGTGAATGTATAAGTGTGAATATATAACTATATTCAGAGTCTGCAGACAGTTAGATCAAATGAGGCTCGATGATGGAAAACAACAGGAATAATTAAACAAAAACCAAAGTTAAGGTATGATGCGAGAGAGAGGCAAAATCCTTGAAGTAACAATGGGAAAACTATTAATTGGGGAGTAACATTGGCCTGGCTCCAATAATTCTGTAAAAGAGATTATTCTTCTCAGCACAAACTATGATCAAAGGGGATGCTTTAACCTTTGACTTACAGAAGGTGCTGACTTACAGAAGAACAGAAGGTGAGTGGATTGTCAGTAGCAGCACACGTACTGAGAAAGACACAGGATCTGCAGTAAACAGTCTCTCTCCAGCCCTGAAGATAAAAGTAACTCAACTGAAGCCATTTCCTCACAAAGAGTTGCAAAGAAAGTTTAAGAGGAAATATGCATATGGATTTTTATTGTGCTCACCCTTTATTTTGTGTGAATAAATAATACAAAGAAGTGGAAAAAGCTGAAGAAGAGGAACAGTCCCAGGTTTCTAGAAGAAAGGGCTTGCAGATAGAAAATGCAGCTGGGCCTGTTCGGTAAACAGGAGAACGGGGTTCCTGAGAGCCGCTATAAACCATCAATGCCATTTGTTTCATTCTAATCAGTTAACAAAATGAAGACACTGGAGTTCCTTTTCAGGTTCAATGTCATTTACTATCTACTATGACTTTGTAATGAACCCGGCATCTAATTTGCTTGTTCTTAACACTACCGTGGTGCACTTCTTGAGCTCTTCACAATGATTCTGAAGTTATCTTCAGCTGCTGCCTGCCTGCCTGTCTGCCTGCCTGTAAGAGAAATGGGGTGAAATCCTGACCCCAATGAAACCAGTTCTCATTGACTTTAATGAAACCATGATTTCACCCTTAGGATATTTTCAGCTTCCTTTTATCAGCCTTGCTGCCTGGTTCACCAATTAGAGGAATAGCATGGTAGCTTGGAGAACCGCACAACCAGCCCTTTAAGAAGGGGCTGAAACAGGCACTAGGTCTATCTTCTCCAACCAATCTTTTCAAAAGAAAGTAGTAGTCAACACTATATGAGATGTGGACCTAATATATTAGATTTGTGTTAGACATATTCTGAGAATGTTTGCCCCTAGGGGCAAAGAGGACTTTGGTGGAAGAATACCCTGTTTTTGGATTCCAAATAAGCTGAGGCATGAGCTAGGACCTAGGCTAACTAAAGGAAGTGGACAGTTCTAGAAATTTGAAAAGGGAGGTGCAGATGGCAAGGTGCATCATCACATATGAAGCAACACGTCTTTTTCTCCAGTTAAAAATCAACTGACAGCTTTACTCGTATGCTAGAGGCCTAGGGCTCTATTGAAGCAAAAACAAATATATGTAACTTCATTGGAAATAATCTTCAGGGCTGTGGAATAGGAGCTTTGTTACCAGGAATGGCTAACAGAGCAGAATTGCAGAGCAAAGGATAACTTGATTGGTGGAATATCAAGACCACTAAAAAGGCGAGAGAGTTGTTAACACTGGTGGAATGAAGAGTTCAGAAGGGATCAAGTAGATTATAATGAGCCGTGCAGTCAATTAACTCCGGCACTGCAGGATGAGAAATGCTGCTGTCCCGGCAAGGCAGTTGGTTTTAAACTTTGAGTGGACCAGGAATCAAAGGGCACCAGTACACTCACCTCTGGATCTGCCTCTGTTAGAGGATTTAGGTGTAACAATGTTGATTACTGTACTGCAGAAAACATAGACACATGTGCCAATAGACAGAAGTCAAAAAGAGACATCTAAGCACATTTGGGTTGGGATTCACAGCAAACAGTATGCATGCAAGGAGATATGGGCCAGCCTCTATGAAGAGAGGAGCTCTTCTAGAATTAGACAGCGTTTATTAGTGTCCCTGAAGTCTCAGCAAGTGCAATGCAGGTAGGCTAGGATTCAGTGCCATAAACAACAGCATACCACTATCAAGAGCAGATCCAGGATTTTGTGAAGGAGATGCAAGAGCAGCAACCAGTGCTGCCAGGCTGGTTGCACCCCCACTCCCTGCTCCTCCACCCCTACTCCCAGGAGCATGGGCAACTGGTGCCACCTTAGTCAGGGGAGGCATGTGCTGCCCCACCGACCAGTCATGTGCCCCTCCAGCAACCAGTCCCCCCCAGCCAATCTCACTGACTGGGGGGTCCCCTCATGGCCAATCCCACCGACCGGGGGTAGGTCCCCCTGTGGCCAATCCCACAGACCAGGGAGGGGTCCCCCCATGGGCAATCATGAGATGGCTGATCACTGTGGCTGCTTCCAGATCCCTTCCTTGGCTGGTGCTTGGAGGGGGCACACCAGCGCTCCTGCCTGCCCTCCCTGCCTGTTGCCTAAACAGTGTGCATGGCCAATCAGGGGGTGCACTGGTGCTCTCAGGGGGTGCACATGCACCCCTGTGCACTCCCTATGCATCACCACTGCCCAGGACAGCAGACTGCACTGCCGGAGCAGAAGCAGAAACTTTTATTTAAGTCCTCAAATAAGTAAGAATCCCATCTCCTTATCTTGGTACCTCCTCCCTTCCCTCCATCAAGCCTGGTCTAGAGCTGCTCCTGCTCTGCCCCAGGAAGACTCAGTAGGGGAGAGAAGCAGCAGCAGTGCACAGGCTCCTCCTCCCCACCTCATCACCCTGGGTTTTCCCTGCCAACCCATGACCAAACATGGGGTAGGCAAAACAGCCCACTGCTACTGATGCTGCTTTCTCCTGCAGCTGCTCTGGAGCCCCCACTACTCTCCCGAACCACAACCCTTCTAATCCCATTTCACATAGGAGAAGAGCTCCAGGGGTACTGCAGCTGGGCTCAGCAGGAGACAGCAGAGGCAGTGGGCAAGTTCAGCTGCCCCATGTTTCATGCTGGGTTAACAGGGAACACCTGGACAGACCAGGCAGACAGGAGGAAGCTGCCTGCAGCCATCACTGCTTCTGCTGTTATCAGCTGGATCAGGACAGGAGTAGCTTGAGACCACTCCCCCGTAAGCCAGGTACAGTGGAGACAGAGGCAGTGACAATGATGGGCATTGGTGGGAGTGAATAAGAGGTGAGGGAACATGCTGGTGAGGACAGAGGGGAAGAGAGGGGTGCAAATAGCAGGTGGTGGGATTGGAGAGAGATGGAATTCTTATTTGATTTGGGGACTTTAAAAAAGTACCTGCTGCAGTTCCCACAGTGCCGTCCAAAAGGGAGGGGGCCTCCATGCCACTCTAGTCTCTCTGAATCCACCCTGGACACTGTTCATTCCAAGTTGAACTGGGCATACGCTTTTGTATCTTGGTTAATATTGATTCAGGTCTTAATGTCTGCGTCAGTGACAACTAAGCTGAGCTCCACATCTAAGTTTATAAAGCCAGCGACCGACTGTTTTCTTAGTTTATTGTTTCACATTCCATTTCCTACAAGATGCTCATGTCTTTTTCCTTTTCCACTTATCAATTTTTTTTCATAGATTTGGTGTTCCCTATGGAAAATCATGGCTATATGAGAATTTGCTCTTACAAAAGCCAATATCATTATACATTGTGTTTACTTGATTCCAAGATGAGGTTCCTCCCTCCCCCCGCCTCATCTAATATGGGGAAAACAAAGCTTCGTCTTAGAACTAAATATTAAGTAAAAATGAAATTCCTGTAGTCAGAAGAATCTGCTTGGTTAGACATGGGACCCAGCACAGCGGCAAGCATCAGAGGCACTCAGGCAGGCAGGAGCAGGGGGCAGGGGGCAAGGGGCCAGGGTCAGGCTGCCTACTTCCCTACCACTTGCCATCTCTACTGCTTGCCCCCCTGCACTGCTTTCCCTGATGCTTCTATTTAAATGATTATAATCTATAATTTTCCACGTATAGAATCTATTTAGGGGGTCATCTTAAATTCAAGTCCTCCTGGATTTGAGTAAATGTGTTATATATTTATAAAGAAATCAATCAATAAACAAACTGATTTGCTTATGGGCAAACCATGCCTTTGTGTAAGATGTGCAGATTTCATTGCTAATGAGAGCTCCGACATTTCTGTGTCCCTTTCTCCATTCAAATGCAGTTTCAAATTATTCTGAAATATTCAGTGTCTACTTGTAACCTTGATTACAATATCTTCAGACACTTCCCACACATTGTGAACTTGCAGAAACAATTGATATAGTCACAGACTGCTCAAGCAAATGCCCACATTATAAACATGGGGACATATCTATTTTGATTATCCTTACAAATCCAATTGCAAACAGTCACATCTAGGCAGAAGAAACAAAATCCTATATATTCCAAGTCAAACTTGCATTTAGCAAAAAAATCCAAAAAACTGCCTAGGTCTGCTATGAAATAAATTATTGCACAGACTGTCTGTCAGAGGCTACATGAGTACTGACATGAAACTACATGAGTTAAGTGCTAAGAAGCCAATCAAATTACAAGAAACATGGAATTTGTAATTCACATGACATGACCCGATATGTGTGCTCCAAGTATACCATGTTTAAGAAAACAGACCAATTGGATGCTTCATGCTTGCTCCTGCTTGCTTATTGGATTCCACCTTGTATTAGGTTCAAACATGACTCAAACAAAATGGTGAAAATTCTGAGTCTATGCAATATCCACTCATTCTATTGTAAGAACCAATCTTGCTTAACTGCAAGCTAAAGCACATGCTTCTTAATGCACATAGACATTTAAGCAGCACAAGGATGAAAAGAGTGCATAAAGTATAGCTAAAGAAAAAAAACAACTAAAAATACAACTAATATTCATAAAATGCCAATTTTGTTGACTATCTCTTCAGTTGCCTAGTTGCTCAGTCCCATAAAGACTGAAATGTTTCTGGTCGGGTATAGAAGTGGAAGTTGAGGTACCTGGCTTATAATTTTGCTGTGCCTCAGTCCTCATCAGTAAAACGGGGATAATAATACTTACCTAACTCTCAGAACAGAGCAGGAAAAATCCATTATAGATTGTGAATTACTCCAATACTGCAGTGTGGGGTTGGAAAAGATAGGTAAGATCAGTAGAACAGTTTATTATCAGCAATGAATAAATCACTTTTCTTGATTAATCTGAATGTTGGATTTAAAGATGAATGCCAATCTGTACTGCACAAATGAAAGGGGAAATTTGCATTAGTTTATAGCACAAAGGTCATCTATAACCAATTAACATTTTTCTCTGCCACAGTGCAGATACAATCTTGGAAGCAAGTGGTCTAAAAACAGTTTGAGAACACTATCAAGAAATACCAGGCCATTTAGCAATGGTCTCTGAGAGTACTCAGTGTAGTTCATGGCATAATTATTTATTGGAATTCAACTAAACATCCTGAAAATGAGCTGCAGTATATGGCAGCTGCAAAGAAAGAAAATAGAATGACTGGATGTATAAAGAGGGGAATTATAAAGTGATGTGAAAGTGGTAATGAGTCTGCAGTATAAGGTCCTTGTCAGGACTCATTTGGAACGTTGTGGGAGTATTACTCTTCAAGGCTTTAAAAAGGGGTTTCAGATGTTTGAAAATGCACCTTGAGGAATGAAGCAAAGCTTATTTGGGATATAGAAGGGGATGTCTTCCTAGACAATGTCTCCATAAGCA